GCTCCCTACACGACGGGAGCTCCCGGACTTGTTGGCATCAAATGGCATCTCGTCCAGCGAAAACGACGACATAGCAACTCCATGTGAAAGCATTGGGTAAATCGGAAACCCCTGCATGATGAATGCCTCACATGGCGTGACCCACCGTCTGTGCACATCACTGAAGATAATGCCTGCGTTTTTGATGAGTGTGCGCATACAGCTCCACGTCGAGTAGTTGGCAAAGGCACGCGGATCTTGAGACAAACTGTAACAACGATCACGACAAAGAGCCTCGTAACCCAGGAGAAACCTTCTCTCCATGTCTGACAGACTGTTTCTGAACACATCAGACTCATCTACACCATCGCGAGTTGACGTAGGACGGCTGCCGGCCCAACTCAGCTCGGAGCGCAGCTCAAATCCCGAAGCAACAAAGAAAATATCCCACGGTGGAAGGCTGCCGTCAGCAGCGCACCTCGCACCAGAGCCGATTGCACGGATGAAGTCACCCAGTCCCATTTGCCATGGCACTGTTTTTGTTTTGTGTCGCCCAACCACGTACTTGCGACGCCTTGCTACCGGCCAGCCGAATGTGCACTCTGGGTCTATCACGCATATGACTGCAGCTCGTAGAGGTCCGACAGCATGGAAGACATAAAGTCATCAGGAAACGATACAACGTTTTCCTGCACAAAGAACGGCTCCTGAATGTCCCTTCTCATGGCAACGAACACTAAGAGTGCTGTTGTGGTCTTGCCATCGAGCTGGTCTTGCAGTCCCCGTGAACTAAAGTCCACACACGGCGTGCCTCCAATGTGGAGGTCTGCTTCGCTGACTCTGCAGTTGCGGTTGCACTTCTCACAGTATGCTACCCTGCCAGTGCACACTGACGACCGCACAAGGTCTTTCAGCATCGTCATGGTCCTGTGCTCACGGCTAATGGTGTCCAGTTTGTCTGAAAGTGTAGGAAGCCAGAAATCATTAATATCACCAAAGACACAGCTGGGACCACATGGATGTCGACAGAGCTCTTGCTGAGACTGCGAGAGCCATTCGATGCCAAACTTGTTGTCTGCCTTTGGCACTGAATCCTTCGTGACCTCGCGACCCTGCAATATAAGAGCTGCAGCACCCATCATGGCAAGCGCAGTTGACGGGGAGTCCACGCCTGAGAACGATGTACTCACGGACATGGAACTGAGCACCGCCACGAGATACTCAGCATACTCGCCATCAGATGCACACGCCAAGGATGCAACGCTCCGCAACATGTCCTCCGGCCACATGAAGAGCTTGTCACGCAACTTGTCTAGCCTGTCTTGCCGACCCACCAGCCACTGATCAAGCGCCTGAGGAGCAGATTCATCTGAATGATCCGGTGTTACAGCGGAAGCTGAAGCTGCCGAAGACGCCACCGCGGCCGTTGACACCACAACATCCGTTCCCGTTCCACAGACACGTGTCTCGTCATGAGTCGGACTGTCGCCTCGGTTTAAACACTCCAGCCCAGGATCAAGCGTCTGAGGAGCATGTGCATCCGAATCCGAAGTAGCCGGTATTGCAGAGGAATCTTCCGAAGATTTCATCACAACATCATCAACGTCTGGCATTGCCACATGCGCTGCGCTGACATGTGTCTCCGGATGATTGGGCTCCTGAGTCTGAGTCTCCTGTATGTCCTGATGATTGGGACTGTCGTCACGAGCTGAACAATCAACAGTTTCACAAGCAAGCACCTGAGAAGCAGATTCATCCAAAGTACTGGGTCTTGCGGATGAGGAAGGTGCTTCTGAAGATACCATCACAGCATCTGGGATCTCCACATGTGATTCGCCGACGTGTGTCTCTTCCTGATCGGGATTGTTGCCGCGAGTCCGAGTCTGGCATTTGGAAAGAAATACTGCCAGGCCATCTGAAGTCATGACACCCATGCGATCGTCCTTCTTGGGAACCCGTTTGGCAGCCGGGCTCCTGTTATTTGGCATTGGGCTTGATTTTGCCTTTGGACTCCTGCTCCTTGGCATTGGGCTTGATTTTGCCTTTGGTGTCATCCCGCCACATCTAGGTGAAGCCAACGAGGTCGAGGCTTGTCTCTTTTTGGGCGCTGCCTTCACTGCTGTAGACTTGGCAGCCTTTTTTGGCGGCATTTCAGAGATCACATATACCGTAGCATCACAACCGCTTGCAAGTATGGTTTGCTAAGATGACGCGTGAGCAAGACTCGATCACCAACAAGTATGAGCTGATGCATACATATTGAAACAGCTCCAATCATCCTAGCCTAAGAACACTGCACAGTCTCTCAGAAAGTAAGCAAACACACCATGTGTCTGACCCTTATTGCGTGGAACTGTGAAATTATGAGAACCTGATAACCAATAAGTGTACCGCTGCAAGCATGAGCCAATGAACTGCCAATTACACTGCATCTGCACGTCAACATGATGCAAGTGTATTGCTGAAAGCGTGAGCCAGTGAAGCAAGTGCCACTCACCTTTACATGGCAATCCGACGTGAGACGCTGAACGCATAATTCATGCCTTGATGCAGTACAAGCTGTGCGTCGAAGTGTGGGCCTGAGCAGGTTGAATCAACAATTAATGAACAATGGACACATGTTACAAAGTCAAATGAAACTGAATTGGCCACAGTGGTACGCAATGTTTTTTGTTTGTCTTTTTGTTTTGTCTTTGTTGGTTTGCTTTGTATTTTATCATTATTATCTATTGTTGTTGTTGTTGTTGTTGTTGTTGTTGTTTACGTTTTTTGTTTTGTTTGTTTGTGTTTGTATGTTATGAAAGTTATTGTTGTATTTGTTGGTTGCTTGCTTTTTTCTGTGTAAATGCTGATGATGTAATGCTAAAAGAGTTGTGATATAAGGATCCACTCAAATACCCGCCTCCCTCAAGATTGCAACCCAGCTTCCCTTAGGATTGGAGTTCTAAGGGACCAGGCGCCCCTTAGGATTGGAGTTCTAAGGGGGGCACGGGGTCCCTTAGGATTGGAGTTCTAAGGGGGGCCGGGATTTCTTAGGATTGGAGTTCTAAGGGGTCCCGGCGCCTCTTAGGATTGGAGTTCTAAGGGGGCCGGGGTCCCTTAGGATTGGAGTTCTAAGGGACCAGGCGCCCCTTAGGATTGGAGTTCTAAGGGGGCCGGGGTCCCTTAGGATTGGAGTTCTAACTTAGAATTGGAGTTCTAAGGGACCCCGGCGCCCCTTAGGATTGGAGTTCTAAGGGGGCTGGGGTCCTTTAGAATTGGAGTTCTAAGGGACCAGGCGCCCCTTAGGATTGGAGTTCTAAGGGGGGCCGCTTAGGATTGGAGTTCTAAAGGACCCCGGCACCCCTTAGGATTGGAGTTCTAAGGGGGCAGGGGTCCCTTGGGATTGGAGTTCTAAGGGACCAGGCGCCCCTTAGGATTGGAGTTCTAAGGGGGGCGGGGTTCCTTAGGATTGGAGTTCTAAGGGGGGCCGGGGTCCTTAGAATTGGAGTTCTAAGGGACCCCGGCGTTGGAGTTCTAAGGGGGCCGGTGTCTCTTAGGATTGGAGTTCTAAGGGATCTCGGCGCCCCTTAGGATTGGAGTTCTAAAGGGGGCATGGGTCCCTTAGGATTGGAGTTCTAAGGGACCAGGCGCCCCTTAGGATTGGAGTTCTAAGGGGGCCGGGGTCCCTTAGGATTGGAGTTCTAAGGCATCTGGTGGCTTTTTAGGATTGGTGTTCTAAGGGGGCTGGGGTCCCTTAGGATTGGAGTTCTAGGGCATTCCGGTGCCCTTTAAGATTAGTGTTTAAAGGTGTATCTGAACCCATCAGTTTTGGTGTGTGTGTGTGTGTGTGTGTGTGTGTTTCATCATATATGTGAGTGACTGCATGTTGTTTTTGTGTGTTTGGTTTTTGTTTGTGTGTTTTGTTTATGTAGTTTTTCTGATCCAAGTTTTGCAATCACACTGTTAAGGTGGTCGTTTCTGAAGGTTGTAGTTGGATCACCATATGACACCTCAGGACTCTAAACACAACTCATCCTGAATCAATGCATGCAATGCATGGCGTGGTACATGTGTCTTCAGAATCATGCATGTGATCATGGGACGGTGAGACAGAGGCTTGCAACTAGCACATCGCAGCCACATGCCAAAGTCATGCAAGCGACGTGAACCACAAACAGAGCCAGCCTGGAACATCATCTCTGTCCCGACCTCGGCAATCGCACACTGACTGTGTGTGGCTGAATACATTGCAGATGGCAGGCAACTTCAGCATGTGCTCATGAGTTGCTTCGGATGCATTCAGCCCACACCTAATTGCACATGTTTTTTTTCTCCATGCCGGATGCATCACTTGCCGTCTTTGTCCCTCGCCCGATCGCCACCGCCACCGCGAGCAGGAGTGCGACTCCTGCCAGTCCTTGCCTGATCTCCACCGCCGCCCCGTGCAGGAGTGCGACTCCTCTTCGGCTTCTGCTTTGTCTCCTGGGTGTTCACTCTCACAGTCGCTTACGCACACAACATGCAACACGTGGAAACTCTGACGTGATATTCGTGACTGAAAAGGCTGAAACGCAAAACCTCATGCACGGTGACACGACAATGGAAAGAGAGCCGTTGGATTGCTGCCAAGCGTCAGGCGACTGGCGTGTTGTGGCCGTCCGTGCGGTTGACTCCTCCTGAGCTGCGCTCAACGCAACGCGGCCCACAGCGTCCACAATCACAAACGGTCATGACTCATGAATGTGCACATGCCGTATGACATGCCGAGGTGCAGCCGGCACTGCTTTCGGATCTTGAACCTGATCATGAACTAGAGCGACGCTGAACGATGGACCGTGAACTATGCTACCATGCGTTGATCGCCTGCTATATATGCCTTCACTGCACTCGGATTCGATGCCTTGTTTGGCTGTGCACCCTTTGGCGACGCTGGTGTCTTCGTCTTCTTCTTGGTCCCCGTAGCCGGAGCCGCCGCCTGTGCCTCTGGCTGTGTTCCCGACAATGGAGCGTGGACTATGCATGGATTGCATGGTGTGCCTTCATACTGATGCATTCTGATTCAATGCCACGCCTTGGTTGCGGAGGATGTCTTTGACGACGGTGGCTTCTGAGTCTTCGCCGCCTTCGCCTTCGCTGCCTTCGCCCGTGTCGACCGCTTGGCCTTTCTGGACCTTGCCTTGGCTGAAACAAAATGCTTACCAACATCTAGTTTCTATAGGCACTTCAACCAAGTGCCAAGTCCCACACGCCAAACCAGCATAACACGCAACACTATATGCATCTGCAGTACGTCGCTAGACGAGCTCCGCGAGCTACTCGACCTCGACGAGTCAGATCCCGACGATGACTCCGAGCTCATGAGGCCGTGCTCCCTCGGGAGCTCCAGCTCGTCCTCTCGAAGCGGGCTCAAGGACTTTTCCTTCCCGCCACCTCGGGGCTTCTGTGGAGCAGCTGACGCACTCCTGCGCTTGGTGTCCCTGGGAGCATTGTCTGCCTCGACCCTCTTGGCCGCCTTGGCCTTGCCACGCGCGTCCTGGCAGGCCTGCTCATCCTTCTGAGCCTCCTGAGCCTTCTGCCTGGCCGCTGACGCTTGCGCCAGCTCCCACAGCTTGTGCTGTGCCTTGATCATGGCAGTCTTCTTGGCTGCAGCTGCAGCCTCAGCTTCTTCCATGTCCTTCCTGCGAGCCGCCGCAGCCAGCGAGGCTTGTGCCGCAGCCAAGGCAGCCTCCTCATCTTGCCGCTTCTTGGCAGCTGCAACACGGCCTGCTTGCTCTGCTGCCGCCGTTGCCTCGGCGTGCCTTCTCTGCTCAGCCTCCCACTGAGCTGCTGCCTCTGCTTGGGCCAGACGCTCTGCATGTGCAGCCATAGCTGCCTCGTAGTGGGCCCGTTGCTGGGCGTGTGCGACTGCAGCGGCTTCCTCATCTGCACGCTGCTGTGCGAGCACGCGTGCCTTCTCCTGCTCGGCGTCTTGCGCAGCTCGTGCCCTCGCAGCCCTGATGTCCTTGGATAATTTATTGGTCATTGCAGCAGAGTCGTTGCACTGTCAAGCACTCGTTGATCAACTTGCATTACCTCGATTCAACAATTGCAGATATGAGGCTTGCCCGAGGTCCAGGACTTCACCACGCACGTTCACTGCTGCATAGAGCTGTGGCCGCCGCTCGTGGATCCTCGTGAAATGCTTGCGCTTGCAACTCCAGCACTGCAACCGTTAACGACGCACTTGACTGTGACTCATGCATGAACTGCAAATACAAACTTCAACCAGAGCCAACTGTATACACTCGCACCGTCCTTTCCGGCTCTGTTGCGGGTTCGGGCTCGGTAGTGCCGCCCAGCCAAGCCGCTTGCGATGGCTTCGGTACCGTCTGGGGTCTGGGTCTGGCCTTGGGACCCTTTGGCTTCACCTTCACCAGCTCTGGCGGAGGGGTTTGGGGCGTCTGGGGTGCCTGCTGGTGCGGTGGTCGGCCTTTGGGTTCGGGAGGTGGCTGGGAGTGATCCGGCGGTCCATTCGGCGGTGGTGGCGGGGGTGGCGGCGGAGGTGGAGGAGTTTGTGGGATTTGTGGGCGTTGAGGTGGAGGTGGTGGTGGGTTTGAAAGATTCGGCGGGGGCGGTGGTGGACATGTTGGAGTGCCCGGGTGTTGTGGTGGGTTGGGGAGTGGGTCTGCAAGGTGCGGCGGGGGCGGCGTCATTGGGCATTTGCACTGCGCAGCTGCATAAGCAATGTCCGGGGGAGGTTCGGCGGCGCTGGGCGGCTTCAGGGCACCAAACTGCAAGTGAGACGGCATGTCACGCGTGCGCCCCGGGATGTAGGGGCTGGCTGGCGCCTGCAAAATCTGTTCTGGAGCCGGAGCCCATGCTAGCCTGTGGAAGGCATGCTTCGGCCGCACGGCCGGAGGAGGAGGAGGCGGCGTCCAACTCATGATGGCACAGACCAGCAAGGACTCTAAAACATAAACTGGAGAAAACGAAAGGCTTCTGGCGGCTTACACTTTGAAGTTGCAGAGAAGCTTCACAACCATATTTGGCCGTTTGGCCCCGAACACATGTCATGTCATCCTTTATGACTTCATGAGACTCATGGACCACGAATCATGAAGTTCTGAACTAGGCACAAAGCCTGCACTGAGCCTCTCTCTCCGGAAGAACAAACAGCTGTGCAGCATGCAACCGACAAATGAAGTGCAACATGCAGCGACGCAGCAGTGAATCAGCAACCACATGTCATGCGCACTTCACGCCTGTGTCACACGCTTGCCACATGTCCACATGTCCTCTTATGATTTCATCGCTGAGGAGCCGGCTCAGCATCGCAGATTGTTGCGGAGCACAGCGCGCAGGCGCAAGTGGTTGGCCGCCTCAACTATGTAATATCTCACTTGGGCATGTCAGCATGTCATAATCACTTCATGCAAGACTCAAGACTGACATGACTGCACGTGCAGAGTAGCAGGTATCTCGTGACATGGCTGACATGGCCTGGGCTGCACAGTGACGATGATCTGAGCTTCCTGCTCTATTGCACCTGCTGCTGATGATAATGATGACGCTGCTGCATTTGCACCACTGCGGGTCAGCAGACTCCACCAATCGTTCCCGGCTGAAAGGGATACAGGCATCGGAACCTTATTCTTCTGAATCGACTCAACTAGCCCCGCATCAGCGCTAGCCAGCGTATCCATCAAGCCTGTGGATTGACTGATCGTGAGAAGCTTGCGCTCACAAGGAGTGTGAAACCCCAGACCACAGAAGGGACATCGCGTTGCACCGTTCCTCTGGCACAGCACGCAGCGAACAATACCACTGTCGGTCTGCGTGTCCTGACATTCACAAACATTATCTCATCTATGCGCCCGTGCCGCCATGCCATGACTCCATGCATGCACAGACTGGTGTGCACTGCGCAACACATGGTATGTGACACGGAGACACTCGACACTTGGCTGCGATAGCATCGGTCCTCGTCTGGGATATCGTCGTCCGTGCTTAGGTTCGTGCTTTGTGAAACTGAAGTCAACATGTGCTCGCAAAAGTCTCGAAGCTGCATGAAGTGCGGTGACACTGCATCTCGATCGGGGCTGGTTCGCTTAACCTTGCGCATTGATGCTCGAACAAACGGCAGCATAACATCAGCATGGCGATCGTCCAAACAAAGCTCCGGATATCCGATGCCGTTGCTTATACCAGTGCGATACATCGTGCAATCTGCCACAGAGAACAAAACCTTACCGTCGTCATCCAATCTCACTTCACGTCCTTGTCGGCCAACCAAGCCATGCCTCAGCTGCTCTGTCAAGTTTGTCAGGCTGCGAGGTGAAACAGTCAAGTGAGACGGTGAGACAGTGAAAGGCCGATGCAAAGAATAGGACATGCGACCCAGCAATGGTGTACAGCGTGTTCAGAACACAACTCACTCCTGCATTGTAGAAATTGTAGGACATATCACCAATGACGACACATCTACATCACTGCGGACTCCTAGGCTCCTTCACCTCCAGCTACATGTTACTAGTTACTAGTTAGTCCAACCCATCTGCGCCCGGCCGGTCTGCAGCTGCGCCACCTCCCATTGTTCAGCCAATGGACCCATATGAGATCTTGAGAGTCATCTGTATATTTGCAGCGAACACACTTGCAACCAGCGACAGCATCCTCCATGCTTTTGAGCAACACCAAACTAATGCTGCGATCTGTCCCCAACGGCACGTCCTTCGTCTTCGCATACTCATGCATTGCCTCAAGCATCAGATGACATGCCATCACCCACCTTTTCAGGACACGCCCGTCCCGCTGAAGATCTACAACGGCCTTCGATCTGAGCACAGCAACCAAGTCATGTGGGAGCTCTGCGTCGTGGTCATGCTCAGACTCATGATCTGACGCCGACACGTCAGCGCCACTCTCCCCCCGAACACCTTCAGCGTCGACTGGCCGACGCGGACTCGCCAAGCTTGCTTCACCCATGAGTGCACCCGACGCTTCTGGAAGCTGTGAGCTCATATCATGCTGAGGCTGGGTCGGCTGAGTGCTATCTTCGCCCGGAGATACCTATCCTGGAGATCTGCAACCAACGCCCATGGTTTTGGCTTTCTGAGAGCGAGCCCTGCGAACCAGAAGCAACAAGGCTTCTTCTTGGACAGCTGCCTCTGGAACCAGCTCAGCATTGCGATGTATATCCTCAGCCACTGCAAGCACATTCTTCGGCGATGGAAGGCGAGCTGGATCCGTGGCAGCAGCCGCACTGGCGTCATTGATTTCCTGCATCTCGTATTTTGCTGTGTTGTCATCATCCGAGTCCTCAGCATCCGTGGCTATCTCGACATCGTCGAGGAAGTTATCATCATCCTCAATGTAGTCCAAAATCTTTGGTGGATCCAGGTCGGCTTCGTTTGCGCCCTCTTCGGGTGCATCTTTCCTCTTGCGACCTGCATGCTTTGCTTGTGCTTTGCGTTTGGCTGCTTTTGCCTTGGGCTTCCGTCCAGATTGGGGCTTCGCCGACTTGGCCGCAGACGCAGACGGGTGACACTCAGCGGTCATGACAAACACATGGTTCACTAACGGTAACACTGAGGCCACTCGTATCTCACCCCCACCCTCTGCTTCTGTTCTCCAGCTGGGCAGCAGGAGGTGAGACATGTCTGGAGACAACACTGTGTACCCCACGCGCATGTGTAAGCCTCGACAAGAGCAGGCACTGTAGAAGCTCAAGAAGAACAATGTGGACTCAACGCAATTGTTCTCTTCATACACCCACTGGAGACATGGATGACCATTGCACACAGTGAATCTTCGAGAACATCACGCTTACCGAAAACTTCTCTGCCACCGCGAAGAACAACGGCGGCTGCTGTCGCACTAGCCCATCGTCGCCCTCACCGTCAGTATCCTTGTGCGCAGTCTCGATGATCGCAACTAGCAAACCTGGACCCATTCTGTGACCAACATCTTGTTGCTTGCTCTTTTTTGCCGATGATGTGGTTGCCCGACGCCACGCCAGGTTGTATGACTTCGCCCATGAGATGCCGTTGTTTGATTTTGCCGCGGCAAGGTCTGCTACAAGCGATGAGTTCTCCGGCTGGCCCCACCCAGCTTCTGCTGACGCAGCTGCTGATGACCCGCTTTGATCTGCTGGCCCCCTCACAGAAAGCACTGCTTCGCGATCCGTGATTGCAAGCACTGCCGGCAACACGCCATTACCACAGTTTGTAGGCAGAGGTACAGACCATCTATTATCATTCGATAGAATCGCCAGAGATGCTGTCTTGAAGCCGACAATAGATTGCATTAACCCTTCCGCAGTGTTCTTGATAGCCGACCATTTTTTCTTCCTCGCCAAGCTGTGATCTTCACTCAAAGCACGCCGGATGGCAAGCCTAGAAGACATCAGTTCCAAGCTCATGTTCGGTGCACGCCGGCCCATCAACTTGATCAAGCTGTTTATTCCCTCGATGGCTTGTGTGTCAGCGGGTAGCATGCGTGCAAGACCCTTCAAGAATGCGTACAGAAAGCTGCCAGATGGCGAACTCACGTCGGGAAACACGCCAGTGATCCGTACATGCTGCAACTCACGACAACAAAGCTCTTTGATCTTGCGTGTAGATGAATCAAGCTGATGTGCATCGAGCTCAAGCAACTCCTGAGCCACCTGCTGCCTGCGTTTGCAATACTTTTTGGGATGGCTCTTGATCAACCAGAAAAGCTTCATGGGGTACTGCTGCAAAGGTCTGATGATGCGACGACGAAACGCTGCCCAGTGCAAAAGCAACAGTCTCAGTGCAAGATACCTCATGCGGACAATGTCTGCGTGTGAAAGGCCATTTTTTTCGTTGAAACAGCCTGATAACTGCAGCGCCTTATCAACAATTTCCGGCAGCTTCTCAAACAACGCACTGAACTCTGCAGTGAACTCGTCTAGCTTCATGGTGACAAGCCGGAACATGCAATCGCCAAGCTTTGCGCCCTTCTGGACGAACAACATGAAATGCCGCAGAGGACTCCGCA